ATTAACAAAAACAGCCATATCTCCGTTTTTATAGGGAACCCACCCATTCATGCTCCAGCCATTCTGTAGGGTCTGAACAAGGGAGACCTGGAGCTCCATCTCCCATCTCCATAAAGGGAGCTGGTTCACTCTCTTGCTCTCCTGTTGATCACTGTGCAGCCAAAAATAGGGGCTTTATGGGGATAACGAGAACAAGTAAAAGCAAGTATGGCTATAGCATGCTTAAGTAAGGAGATTCCCAGTTTTTTTCTCTTCTTCAGATACAACTGGCAAATTTTCTCATTGAAATTTAATTGGCTAAAATGAAATTGGCCTTTTGGAGCACCTTCATTCTCTTCAAATGCAGTGCTGACACCTGAACCACTTCCAGATATGGCCTCTCAGGCTTCACTTTTTCAAACATTCTGGACAAAAACAGGTCCCAGTTTTCCACTCCTTTGGAAATTAGAGAGTCAGCAGTTGTTTCAATAATGCTCCAGAAAATCAAAATGCCTTTTTAAAATTAATATAATCTCCAATTATCTTATTACCTCAGGGAAAAAGGCCTGGTGGTACTTAAAAGAGCTCTTAGGGGCTGTCATGCATTTTAATTGAGTGAATAATTGTAAAACACTTCAGGGCCTTGGGTAAAAGGCTCTGTATAAACATTGCTATAACACTGAATAATCTGGTTGCTGTATGAACTGGAATAAATGAACCCTATAAGTAGACATGCAATGTATATATATACATATAATGTGTGTCTGTGTATATACCAATCTTTTAGATAGAACAAAGCATATATTTTATATGTATTCTATAGTTCTTGAAAGAAAAAAATCTGAGATTTGATAGCGATAATTCTAACAATCAAATATTTGTTTTCAAGATGCTGGGAAGTTGGGATTCGTCTTCTGCGCAGTATTGGGTGAAGTGCCCGGAGCCTTGGCGAGGATTCAGTGGTGCTTCTAGAGAAAGCGCCAAGTATTTTACAAAGGGAGCCTTGTGCCGTGTGGGGAAGGGATCTGAGGCACGTGGCAGAGAGAGATGGAGGTCCTAAATGCTTGGGCATCTAAGGATATAGCTGGATACTTAGTAGGTTGAAGAACTCCCAAGTTCTTCTGAGGTACCTTGCCCGACGGACCCATCACACTCCTGTCTCGGAGGCGGGATCTGCTCCGGGAGCTGTCGCTGCCCTGCTGCGTTTTCCCTACCACCGATGGTTTCTCTGTCTTACCTCCTTAGACCATAATTTTCTGAGGAGGCAGTTCTTTTTCCGTGTTTGTACGCCCTGCTCTTCAGCCCATTAGGAGAGAAAACACCTCTAAAATGGAGATGATGGAGAACAACTCGCACAGTTCAGGCAGAAATGAGGCGATGCTGGGCAGTGCCATGTTAGCACAGACAAAGGATTCTCTCTCTTTAAAAGGGCTGGACACTTCCCTTGAGGACACCACTTCACTTAGTTAATGAAAGGAGCCATCTAATACGGGCTAAATGGAAAAGTAGATATCGGAAACTGGCATTTGAATGGCTTCAGTGCTTGAAATGTAAATGAATGGGACAAAACCAGATTCTGTTTCTAAAGGCGCTAATTAGCAGGCATCATCTTACTGCTGTGAATCTCTCATTTGTAGCAGCAGACAAAGGCAGTTTGCTGCTGGGGGAAGCAGACTATTTGCCTTGCTCCAGATTATGCACATCCTTTAAGCACCAAGGATACACTGGGAAGTGCTGCAGAAGGACCCTACAATGGCTTTCCTTGTTGCACACCCACTGGAGACAGGAGTACTAAACATGGTTTAGGTCCTGTAGAGTTGTACCCACACCCTAGATGGTTCAGTAAAGCAATCCATTGTGCATTAAAAGATTCCAGGGATATAGAAAATGAGTGTATTGCTCAGCATTTTAGAATAGGAGTTAGTCTAAACTGGTGCTAAAGTTTCCATTCTGTCCCTTCTGCAATCAGAATAAAAATGTGTAAAAGGAGATGACTGTAGTGAGGAGCAGTGGTATACACTGACTGCTAAAGAAGTTGTTACCTCTGGAAGATTCGTGACTGTCCTGTGGAAGAGAGTAGCAGAAGGTCATTGTAAGAGGATAAGTGCCCGGGGCAACCCAGAAAGGCTGAGGCTGGGCTACCTTTTCACACCAAAAGGAGGCCTGCGGGTGGTGTTTGAGCCTCACGGCAGGACAGCACAGGGACCTTGTAGCGGTTGTTCGGGGTTCTCCCGTGGCTGCTACTCCAGCATTTGTCACAAGCTCCAGAGTCACTTAAGCAACATGCCGAATGCTGCTGACATCTCATCGCGACAGCCTCCCTTCCCATCTGCCAGGGATTTTGCACTTCTGATGAAACTGCTTAAAAGTTACAAAGGCAGCCAAAATGTAGTTTACGGTCACAGTGATCAAATGCTGTAGCTGTTCCGTGGGATTTTTTGTTTGTTTATATCAAAGAAATGAAGAATGGTTGTATTAAAGATCAATTAAGTTTCCAATGGGAATACCAAGCCATATCAATTGATGTGGGATTTTCTCTGGCATGAGTGTAATCACTCTTCAGTATCCAATTGTTGGGTTCATCCCAGTGCTTGTATTACTTTATTCGGGCATTATTTGGTGAAGGAAAAGATGTTTTCAGAAAGTTCCATCAAATAACATGTGCTGCACTGATGTCAGTTGAGGAAATCAGTGTCAAGAGCAGGAAAAGCCAGAAGATGAATGGATGTCTTACTTCAAAAATAGGAAACAGCTTGAAGTTCCTTTGGGGGGAAACAGAAGCCTCATTCATTAGCAATGACATTATTTTAGCCCTCATAGAGAGCAAGGAGTCTGTTCCCCCCCGATGGACATACCCATCTCACATTCATGCACACGATGGTGAGCATTCATGGGTACAAAGGAACAGGGCTGGATCATGCCTTGTTTTGACTAGCGAGCTGTTTGGATGACCTGTACGTGGCAAAGACATCCGGCACAGGGAAAATGCATTATTTGTATTCCTGAGGCCGTTTCAGATGCTGTGAGGTATGAGTGTCTCCCTGTGTCCATCTTAGTGGACATCAAAGTAAGTCTGTCTTGCTGATGTGAGGGATTTTACTTGGATGAGGCCATATTCATTTGTTCACACTTTGATCACCAAGTGATCATATCTGATCAAGCAGTCACATACTTTGTGCAGGATTTATCAGGCAGACATACCTGCGATTCTTGAGGTTTGCCAGTATTTGATAGCAGCAGTAATAGTCCATCTTCTTTTCCTTGTCACATACACAAAGCTTTGTGTGGTTTTTCAATCAGAGTGGACAGCAGTCCCCAGTTTGTGGTACTGGGTTAAGACCACCTCCAGTTACTCAATTTTAAAAGGTCAATAGAAGATTTCTCAAGTGCCTTTACTTTCTGTGCTGTTATCCTCAATACCTTCCCTGTGTTCTCTTGGAGCCCAGAGCTCTTCCTAGCAGCCTGACTCCTGCCTCATGCTCTTCTGCAATTTGGTTATTTTTCTTGGAGTCTCATTATGCCCAAGCATTGACACTTCTCAGAAACAAGTTTCTTAAGTGAAGATGCCTGCTAACTTTCTGAAGTCGTATGTCAATGAACCACAGAGCTGTTTAGTTTAACTGGGTAAGTCCTATAGTGATAAATGAAATTTTTATTCTTCAGAGCCATGTTTATGTCCTTTACCAATGAGCTAGTTGTTGCAATGCAATGAATCCATAAAGAGGTGATTTTAAGTAGGCACAAAATTAATTCTGTTCTGTAAGATACCCCTAGCCTTTTTGCATGATTCTAATTAACTCTCCTATATCAGGATAGGAATGTAAACCTCTGTTACATTAATAATTGTCAAACACTTCTTTTTTAATAGAAAACATTAATTTCTGATATCTGTAGGCATCATCTACAAAGAAAACATGTTGTTTGTCTATAAACATTATGCCCTGTTCTTAATAATACGTGACTGATGCAAGGCATATAGTGAATAAAATCCAGATACTATCAGGATGGCTCCCTGTGCTGCCATTATGTTGAATTACAGCTTGCCTGTGGATCAGCAATGAGTAAGGACCTAGGTCTTAGGGGAAATAAGGCAGCTGGAATGTTATTTTACCACTTGGTTGTGATCCAGATCGAATGTAATCATGTGCACATCTCAGTGCAGAGAGGGCACAGCCATCTCTGGAATGATACTGATGGCAATATCCAAGTACCACTTTATGTCGTGTCTTTGAATCAAATGGCAAAGGTTCATTACTGAGGCTGGAATTAAATCCTCCAGAAGAAAAACACAGATTATCTGGAAACATTGGTACTATATTGTATTATTTTGCTAATGTTCTCTGTGTGTTTCCCGGGAGAAATCAGAGATGAACCTTCAGAGAGGGCCAGATTCTGCTCTCAGGAATGTGAATTCAGAATACTGGTCCTTTCACCATGGTTTAAGATAAGAACCGTATTTGCTTTAATCATGCACTTCCCAAGCTAGACTTTGCTAAACTGCAGAAGCAAACTTTTATCAAGTAACATGGTGTTTTTGTCTTTTTTCTCCCCTATGGAGAGCAGAATGTTTGCCATACTGCAGAGCAAGATGAGTGAATTTGCCATTTGAGGCTAAGTTTGCCAAGGCGGCTTTGAGTGGTTTTCAGTCCTGTAAATGCCAGAAACCTCTACACAATCCCAGTATTTCTTTAGGATCATGATCAGATTTGCTTTCTAACTGCTTCTCCCGTTTTCACATGTGTACTTCCAAGTGCGAACAGTTCCCATCCTGAACAGCAGCCATAAATTTAAATGCAAATCATGGAAATTCCCTTACTCATAGTCAGGAATTATTATAAAGGTTTCTGGCACTGTTCTTTCACAGTTCACAGCGAAATCTCAATCATATGTTAAAGAATCAAAAGCATGAACTCACTTTTTTTTTGTGCACAGGTAGGGTAAAAGGTCACCAGCCTGACAGGAGATGGAAGTTGTCATGTGATGGTACTTCATCTCTTTTTTTATATGTATTTCTCTTCTAGTTATCCATTTCCCATGGTATTCAGTAGCTGCAGTAGAAAGGACCTGGAAAACAGCCTGGAAAAAGGAGTGGGAATGTGTCTGTTCAACTTGCCCGAAGTCAAGGAGTCATTTGGTGGACAGAAGTGTGGGAATGGCTATGTGGAAGATGGAGAGGAATGTGACTGTGGAGAGCCTGACGTAAGATGCTCTTCTTGAGAATTGCTACCCAACTCCTATCTACAAAGTTTTAGTAGAAAAAAAAATCAGAATTGGTTTAGCAGAATTGGTTTAAAACTGTTTGGTGTTTAAAAAAAAATCCCTTCTCTGTTTCTATCTTTTGGTCCTAAAGCCCAGTTAAAGACCTCTCAAATGGGGGAATCTCTGCTTAACTTGCATTGCTGAAGTTACTAACTCCTCTCTACAAAGTTTTAGTAGAAAAAGAATCAGAACTGGTTTGGCAGAATTGGTTTAAAGCTGTTTGGTGTTTAAAAAAAGATTCTCTTCTCTGTTTCTATCTTTTGGTCCTACGGCTCAGTTAAAGACCCCTCAAATGGGGGAATCTGCTTAACTTGCATTGCTGAAGTTACTAAAGTTGGGCTTTAGTTAAGAATATGCTCCGTTTGCCTTTAGAGGACAAACTCTGTCTTTTGAACTAACAGAGCTTCTGTCATGGTCCTAACAAGATTCACAACACAGAAATTCCTTTGAGTACTAGCTAGTAGTCCAAACCCAAAACAAAATTGTTAACATTACTCAGATTTATCAAGATACCGTGCATTAACTGAAGATTTATTTCCAAATTTGAGAGACACTGAATTAAAATTTAAAATTGGTTAGGAGTTTTTCCCTTGGAGCCTGCTGCAGGTTTCAGGTCCAGTACCTTTGCCTCTTTTACTAGGAGATTTTTTCTTTGCTGCTAGCCAGTTACCTTACAGCTGAAATGGCTTTTGCTGCCTCCCCAAAAGATTACTATTGCTTCAAAGATCATTCTGTTCAGTTTAGTGAATGTGTTAGAGGACTGCTGAGATCAGGAGGAGATAGGCAAAGCCTAGGAATCAAATAATATCTGAACAGATATTCTTATCCCTTTGGCTTTCCATGTTCATTGGCTATATTGAACTTCTCCCAGATTATCTGAATTAAATATATTAGCAGATGAGGGATTTACTTCCTATGATAAATATGGTTCTGCAGACAAAATGGACTGGGGCAGTTAAAACAGAAATTGCTGGATTTTGTCTATACGGTCTATTGGATTTATACAAGCCATAAGGATTTCCTGACAGTTCACTCACTCTTCAGGGTAACAAGGTTGGAGAAAGCAGGCTTATCTTCTTCTTTAAAGTCAATAGAATGCAAGCAGCTAGAAAATGTCTTTCTAACCCAGTTATCTTTCTCATTTTCACTTTTGAATGCTAGCTATATCTTTTCAAGTCAAAGCGACTTAACATCCATAAGCAGTAACTATATTTACCTCTATTTTTTTTTCTTTTTTAATTATGTTGGAAAACTACACCTTGAGCCCAATTAAATTAATTTGGAATTTACTGCTGTAGTCTAAGTGGTACCAGAAAACCCATTAGGTTGGTTAATAATTCATTGCCCAGTCACTTAGACAAGTTGAGTTATGTCGGTTCTGGTGCAGTATTTTGTGACATGGGAACATTACAATAAGGCTAGAGAATACTATGTCTGCGGGTTGTTTTTATTGCTGATCAGAACTAAATATCAATTTGAATATGCAGATGTAGATGGTTACTAGGGATATTTCTCCTTTACTCGAGAAACTGTTTACCCTCAGGAATGTGATGAGGGATTTCAGAAATATTTGCACTACTTGCTAAGCAAACCACAGATTTGAGTGTGTCTTTTGACTAAAACATTAGTCTCTTGTTGCAACGTGGGCTCGGCAGCATTCCTTGACAGTAAGGCAGCCATGAATTCCTAAGGGTAGAGACTGTGACTGTAGCGTGTCACCTCCGACACCCCCGTTCACACTGACACGGTAGGGACAGCCATCTCCATCCACGCCACGGGGTCATATGCTCAGGTCTCCTTTTTGAGCATAACGGATGCCTGCACGCCCACCACCAGGTCAAGGGTTACCAGCCAAGCTCCAAACTAATTTTGCAAGAGATTACCAAAAATGTTTAAAGTACTCCAGTGTCCCTGGAATGGGAGTGGATGCAGATTACACACACAAAAAGAACAGAAGGCAAAAGGGGTCTGAGATTACTAACTGTAGCGTTTGGAACACAGCTAGGAGCAACAACTCTATGAGGGATTCTGCAGGACCTACAAGTTATGAGGGTTATGTGGGAGCATTCAGAGAAAAAGACAAGGTTACAGTAGGAAAAAAAGTATAGTTTGTGCTTCAAAATTACAATGGCAGAACTAGGGGAGGTTTGTACAACAGAATTCTTTCTTTGGAGGATTCATGAGAGGATCCGTTTAAATTAAAGTGATGGAGGATGGACAAGATGAACATGGATAAACTGGCAACAGCCAGCGGAATTCACCCAAGGCCTGTAGAGAACTCAGGGCTGGAGTAGCTGACCTACTAATCATGGTCTGCAACCTCCCCATGGTCCCGAGGACTGGAAGGTGACAAATGTGACTGATTTTATAAGTGGTTACGAGCACATCAGAGAACTAGAAACTAGTAAGTCAGAGGTCAAACAAATTACTAGCTAATATACTAAGGAGCTAGTTGTCTGAATAGCTGTGACATGCCAAGGAAGAGTCAGCATAACTTTTGTGACAGGAACACCTGTCTTATAAACCTGCCCTAGCTCTCTGAAGGACTTACAGGCAGATGGAAAGGGAAGATCAAGTTATTAGAGCGTGCTTGGAGTCCAAAGGAGCTTTAGACCAGCACCCTTCACCAAGATCTTTTTAGAAAACTGAGCAGTCATAGGATGAGAGAATATTCTTGCATGGACGAAAGTGGGGTTAAAAGATAGGCAATACAGGGCAGGCATAAGTGATGAATTTTCCCAGAGGAAGGAGATCAGCAGTGATGTTTCTGGGAGATGTATCCTGGACGTTACACCATTCAACATACTCATAGGCAACCTGGGAAGAGGAATAGTCTTGAATTTGCTGGTGATACTACTTAGGATTGTAGAGATGAAAGCTGACTGTGAAGAACTGCAGATGAACCTTATGAGAAAGCTTGACTGTGCATTAAGATGACAAATGAAATTCAGTGCATAGAGTAATGCACAACCTGAACATCACATATAACATGATGGACTCTGAGCTGACTCTTACTATAGAGGAACAAGACTTCATATTGTAATAAATAGTCTCATGAAAATGTCAGCTCAGTGCTCAAGAGTTGTCTAAAAGGTAAATAGGCTGTTAGAAATTACCAGGGAAGAAATAGGAAAACTAAACAGAGCACCAGTAGGCCACTATAAATCAGCAGTGAGCAGCATCTGAAACTGTGTACAGTTTTCTTCCTAACCCTCCGTGGTCTCAAGAAGGATAAAGTGGAATGAAAAAGCTTGAAAGAAAGGCAACAAGAACGATCAACATTTTGTAAGAGCTCTCCCTGGAAAAGAAGAAAATGAAGGAATACGTGACAGGAGCTGGTAGAACCGTGAGTGATTCAGAACGATTGTCCCCTGCAAGAACTGTGCAAATGAAGCAAACGGCAGCTTTTCTGAAAGGAGGAGGGAGTGCAGCCCGCGCAGATGAGTTTTGAGTTCCTTGGTGCTGCATCCTACTGGAGTTAGAAATGCCAAGTATCACAATAGATGTATTCATGCTCTTGTCCTTAAGCATTTTCTGTTGGTAGGGCACAAGCCTGGATGGGTTATAGCCTCACCCAGCACAGTCTTTCTTTGCTCTTAGGAGAGTGGTGGCAAAAACGTGTCCTACAGCAACTGACACCAGGCACGTGGTAGCAGGGGATGGTGCTTGCTGTTTGAGATGTTCGTTGGGTTAGGTTAGTTTGTTCGAGATGCTCTAAGGAGTCCTGGAGGCTTGTCCTCATGAACAACGGAGCAGCAGCTTCGAGTGATGACCTCCCACCTTGCTTCCAGCCTCCAGAACCCATGGGAGCCTTTTTGGTTTCCTTTCCTGCTTTATGTTTAAACTGAGACACTACTAGCCCAGGCACAGGACCTAATTGCTAAGCTGGTTCCATGCAGTGAGTACAAGGGGGTGCACTGGAGCACTGGAAATCTGCAGGGCAGCAGTGATGGCGCTGGGGGATGTGTATCTATGTCCACTTGTCTGGGGAGGTTCCATGGGCTGCTTTGTGCATGGCCAGATGATGGCATATAGGAGATGACTGTTCCAGAAGAACCTTAATTGGACTGACTTTGCCCTCCCTGACTCTGCTTTTCCCAGATTGCTGTTGAGGCAAACGTATAAAATGTGCTTTTGTGCAGAGGAATGTTATTTTATAAATACAGCAGCTGCACAGAAGTATTTGAGTAGCCTGCTGCCTTCCAGCGTGCCCAAAAATAGGTACAGGGAAGTCATTGTGCTACGTCGGAGCAAGCAAAGATGTAGCTTTGTGTATACAGGCAGATATTATTTAAGAAAACAGTGAAATGCTGGGAATCATTTTGCTCATTGCTTGTGATTGCCATGGCACAGTCAGGTAGCCTCATCTTCCAGTTGGAAAGCTTTACAAAGCCAATAAAGTAACAAGAGGCTGTGAACATCCTTCTAGCCCACTTATTTTTCCCGTGTTCAGTATAGTGTTAGTGATCCCTTATTAAGCCAAACTGACTTAACATGGCTGAAAAGCAAATTCATTTGCTGCTATTTTTGTTAGAGAACTGAGTTTCCAGTGCAGCTCATTGAACTTGCAGCTTATGAGTAAAATCTTGGAAAATCAAATCCATTATTTTCTGAACCTTCTGACTCTCTTAGTGAGAAAAAAAAGGGTTTTAAAACCACACATGTGCCACCATCTAATCCACAAGTGTGAAATTGGGATGTATCAGTTAGTGATAATGCTATTCATACTTTTCTTAAAGCTCGGTTATTGGAATACCCTGATAAAAGATTACAGCCTGTGGATTGTCAGCCACGTTGAATGGTGTCAGCCTCTTTTTTCTTTGCAGCAGCCACCTGTCTCCAGGCAATCCAGAATTCTAGTGAGCAGCTATCACAAAATAGAGAGCCGTAGCAGTGATGTTGAGCAACCCTGTCTAGAGGATCTGAAGTCTAGATCCTCAGCTGGGTTAATTCAACTGAAGGTGATGGAGTTTGTCCTCTCAGTGCTTTCTGTGTTCTGCTTTGTGTTTTGATTAAAATACTTTCTTGGTATTTAATCTAGAAATAAGATACTCTTTAGGTTTATACTTTTTATAATATCAAACATATTCAAAATTTAGACTTGTGGGTTTTTTTATCATACAATAATTTTCCCCTGGATTTCTCTGGGATTCCCAATAGCAACTGTGGGCAGAATTTGATGCGGAGAATTTGAACCAGATTTCTAAAATTTTAATCGATGTCATTTCATTGATTCTTGTAGAACTAGAAGAGCATGATAATTTATGACAATCAGGATTGGGATCAATCTACTGGGACAAGATCTATAACATTCCTCCATGGCTTCTCTGGTTTCAGTACAATTATTCTAGTTGTAGTTTCTAAGGGCAGACAACATTGCTGGATCAAGCTGTAGAATTTCATGCATAATTCAGCAATTCCTGCATAGCTTTTCTTGGCAGAGCTGTAGCACATCTTTGAGAAAGAGAGCTTTACCTGATTTACAGCTCAGTATGACTGAAAGTTGCCTGTTTTAAACCTGTCCCCCATCTAGGAATGCACCAACCAGTGCTGTAATGCAACTACGTGCACGCTGAAGCCCGGAGCAGTGTGTGCCCATGGCCTTTGCTGTGAAGATTGCCAGGTGAACCTTCAAAACGTCTCTTGTTTGCGTGGGGTGGGCAGAATTGCAGCCTCTGCTCAACTGCAGGCCAGTGAGCAAGGGTGCAGAGCAAATAAAAGGGTATCGTTAAACACTAAGACACTTGGGTTTGGTGTAAGCAATTAAAAAAAAATCAAACTGTAACAGCTATCGAAGGGCCAGATCAATAGACTTCTTTAGTGGTGTCTGCACTGTTTCTAGCCACTTTTGTGCATACTAAACCTCTTCTTTTTTATGGACTTGTATACTCTGCTCTTTTTTATGCTGATCTGGTTTTTGTGCACTCATTAAATACTGAGCTGTCTTTTTAAGGGAAGACTCTTAAAACATTAATTCTGTCAACAGCGTATATATTTTTAATAGCAGATCATCAGCTCTGGTGGACTCCTAGTGTACTATAAAAAGCCAGCTTGCCACAGGCGTTTACCTTCTTGAATTCTCAGACCAACTTTTGCATATGGGCTGATAAAGCATTCAGTGAGTTTCCGCTGTGTCTGTGGCCACCATCTGCCTAACTGCTCGGCAGCAGCAGTGCTATGGAAACAACAGCAAGCTGTTTCCGTGCTTCCTAGCAAGGGCTTTTAAGCAGAATCAATCTCACTGTCATTTTGCTTTTTACCAAAAACATTGTGGCGACGCAGTTAAAAAATTAGTACTGCTCCCGGACTGCTATTTTTCTTTTCGTGTTGATGAGTAGGTGTTCAGACTGGCACGCTCCACGGTACCTGCACGTCGCCTTCACCCCTCAACTATGTAGCTGCCCTCATAAATCAGGAGAGGAGAGGGATAATTGGACTAGCTGGGCTGTCAGTTAAGTCAAAGAAGGTCTTGAAGCTTGTGGCAAAAAGAGATTTTTGGAAAGAACAGAGATTTCATCTCAGGAAGTTGAGTCCGTATTCAGATGGGACAGTGGCTTTGAGGGATAGAGCTTCCCTGTGGGATATTAAGGCTATGTGACCAGCTGTCTGCCTTGATCCTGCATTATTAAAGTCACCCAGAGAGCAGAACATGCACCCAGGATTGAGGCTGGATATAGGAAAATGTTTCTGATCTGACCTTTGCCTAGTGCTACAGTGAGTGCTTTGCTGTTGAGCCCAGAACGTTTTTATGACTGTGTTTTTAGATTCTTAAAAAAAAAAAAGAAAGGCAGAATTACAAGAATCTGAAAAATTGACCCATACTTGCAGACTAACAACAGGCTGCATTCTCCTCTGACCTGAGCTGCATGGGGCATGTTTGCAACCACAAGCCCAGTTTGGCCCTTGTTCCAAAAATGTGCCAGATTCTTTGCAACACATCTTGAATAAATGTGCATAATCTTTATGCCGTTTGCTGTGGTCATTTGGTGCAGAGCCACCGAAAAAAATAAAAAAATAAAAAAGCTGTTTGTGTGCTGCATGGCTTCTGCCACTGCATGCCTCTTAGCGAGTGGAATTGCAGCGGTTCAAGGGGTTTGTTTGTTTTTCAGTTAAAACCAGCGGGGATTTCTTGCAGAGAGTCAAGCAATTCCTGCGACCTGCCCGAGTTCTGCACGGGCGCCAGCCCCCATTGCCCGGCCAACGTCTACCTGCACGACGGCCACGCGTGCCAGCGCGTGGACGGCTACTGCTACAACGGCATCTGCCAGACCCACGAGCAGCAGTGCATCACGCTGTGGGGCCCAGGTGAGCGCTTG